CCCCCTCTCCCTTCTACCGTCTTTCCCTTCTTTACCATCTTCGCCACCGAAAGCTCCTAGGCAACGAAATCAGACTGCCAGCCACGATGTATGTACAGAAAGGGGATGATGGTTGGTCTGCCGTCGAAAAACAAGCCACGGCAGAGCAGCATCACGCGAGGAAAAACTACATAGACGACTAAAAGGCGTCATCGACCCCCCCCGCTTCCCTGTTCGTCGCCTTTCCCGTCGTCTTCGTCTTCCGGGGGGCCTGTGCCCAGCCAATCCACCTTCTTCGCCTCCATCGGGGAAGATAGCGTGGCGTCGTGTGAGAACTTCACACCGATGGACGCCCAGTCGGGAACATACATTGGAGGGTCGATCAAAGTGATGGGGGGACTCGCCAACTTGTCGGTGATTACGGTCACAGCTTGCACGATGTGCCGACGCGCGTCGAAGCAGCGATGCATGGATGCGACGAGCGTCGGCTTCGCCGTGAGTTGGACGAAGACCCAGGCGTTGTAATGCGCGCGATGATCGTCACCCGCCATCCGCATGAGCCACATGGTCGCCGCGAGCATCATCCGCATCGCGTCGGCCATGGTCTTCAACCTTTCGTGCGATACACGGTCGCCGTCTGTCGCCTCCGCAATGATCACGGCGCTCGTGAAATCCCCCACCAGTCGCTGGATGCTCGCCTCTTGATAAGCCGCCAAGCCGTCGTCCTCGTGCCTGTCTTCGACGTCGGCGCCCACGAACCACAAAGGCAGCTTCATATGCATGTCGAGCGTGTGGTGGATGACCATCGGACTCACACAATAACGCCAGTCCTCCCCCATCCACATCGCGCGAGCGATGTCGGTGGCCGCGTGGTTGAGTGCGTACTGGTACGCCGCATGGTACCCCCTTTGCATGTTTTGAGACTTGAAGACCCACCCGTGTATCACCCGCAAAGCGATCCCCTGAACCTTCAGCGCCCTCTCCTTCGCAACGTTTAACTCCGACTCGTCCGTGATCTTGTGCTGCGGGATGCTGTTGTGAGGCAAGACGATGCTGCGACGAATGGGCGGAGGCTGCTCTCCCCGCGCTACAACCACAAGATAACCGCGTGCCTCCGCGATCAACTTGACGATGGCAAATCCCTCCCTCTCGTTCCAGAAGCGGAGGTCATCCACCCACAGCTTCGCCGCCGCCTCCATTTCTCGCGTATTCTGCTGGCGCAGCCTGTTCACCGATGGGTCGTCGTCGTCCCCCTCCCCCGCGACATCGCTTGCCTTCACCCCTGCCGTCGCCCCTTCCCCCGCGTTTGATTCCCCCCCCTTTGCTGCGTAGCCTGCCCTCGCCACCATCCCCGCGGGTG